TACAGTATGAGAGAGAGAGAGAGAGAGAGAGAGCAATGACCACAAAAATGCAGGATATTTGGAAATTCATAATGCATGTTCATCTATCCTTGACAGGCCTTTGAACCGTCCAAGTTCATTAACATGTCATTACAATAGCACCAAGTGGTTATAAACGTAATATTTTTCGACCTATACTGTATACAAAAGTAGAAATCATTGTTATTGCTGATGTTGCTATCATCATCATCATCATCATCATTACTATTATCATCATCATTACTAGTGTTATCATTATTATTACTTTAAGACTTATAAAAGTATAAGTAGTAATAGTAGTAGTAGTAGTAGTAGTAGTAGTGGAAGTAGTAGTAGTAGTAGTAGTAGTAGTAGTAGTAGTAGTAGTAGTAGTAGTAGTAGTAGTAACAGTAGTAGTAGTAGTAGTCGTAGTAGTAGCAGTAGTAGTAGTGGGAGAAGTAGTAGTCGTAGTAGTAGTAGTAGTAGTAGTAGTAGTAGTAGTAGTAGTAGTAGTAGTAGTAGTAGTAGTTATAGTAGTAGTAGTATTAGTTGTTGTAGTGTAATTATTATTTGCCTCTCCCTCTTCATCCACAAAATTATCTCTTTATCTTCTGTTATCCTCTCTCTATCTTCAGCTGTCCTGCCTGCTTCTATTTCTGTATCTATTTTATTTATCATAATATCAACATCCAAATATCTTGATTTATGTATAGATTATCGCGTTTGAATGGAAACATTTATTTTGTCAGCCTCGATTTCATATTAGATATCACGGAAAGTTACATATATTGTCAATTGTTTATCGACAACTTCATTTCAGACGACGCGTGGTATTAAATTGCGGCATTATTTTCTCATTCTTGTAATTTATTATTATGTACGATGCGTCATCGCCGCCAACAATAGACGTGATTAATGTTTTTTTTGTGACCCCGCCCACAAAATCGAATTTTTCATTTTGTACGAGTTATTGTATTATTTGTAAGCCAACTCCTGAATAAAACTTTGGTATGTTTTAATTTTATACATTCTCAGAAAGGACTGGGAGGCATTGTTTGTGGTGTTGTGCAGACGGAGAGACAGCACAGGTAATTCATCATCCGGCTTAATTAATATTATTTTTTGTTTGCACTACATAATGAAAAAATACAGATTTGACATTGAACTTTAAATAGCTTCACATAATTCAATATTGGATCTCATAAAGTCCACTTTTGAATTCTGAGTTCAAGGTGCATTTTACTATCAAACTTTTCAGAGAGTACCGTGTTAACATTTTCTAAGGGTTCAATCAGCAAAGGTGTTAACACATGTACACTTATATGGTCCATGAGGTGCAACACCTCGTATTCATTTTGGTGTTTAAAATTAACCGTGTACCAGTGAAATAGCGACCAGATATACGTCTTATTCCCTTTATATCTCGGTCTTGGTCTCGATGCACAGATTTAATGCTAAGTGTGAAAGTAATCAAAAGTTTCCCTCCTGCAAATATCGTAAAATTTATCATCACTAATAATTTCATATTTCTGAATTTAAGAATTTGGTGACAGTCCATACAAAAAAAACGGAAACAAGGTCCTGGTCTTGGTCTTGGTCCTGGTCTTTGGACCGCGATCTCGACCTACAACTCTGCAATGACACTGCTACGTGTAGATAAAACAAAATTAAATAAACCTTACATGCCACATGGGCTTGGCCTATCACTGTCGAAATGTCAACAAGACAAATTTTGAGAAAAGTGAACTTGATCAGAATAATGCAAAGAAAACATCACTATCAAGCAAACAACCTTCTCTCCAAATTTGATCTTCACATCTCTCTATTACACCTTCCTTTGTCTTCGCCATTTTGTCTTTTATTCCCCAGAGTTGGTTTGTTTGTCGGAGCAATACATGGAAGTCAATACGTAATCATTGATTCTTTCTCCCGCCTTTCTCATGTTCCAGTTCCAAAACCCATCGACAAATATTGAAGTAGAAAGGAGATGATGATAACTGTGGCAGGTTTAAAGGGTTGCAGAGAGGCAAAACCACGAACACACAGCGCTGGTTTACTGTCTTCATTTCAGTAAAGACTTCTGGAAAGTCTTTTGTTTTAGGAAAGCAGAAGGCCAGGTGGCTTATTGTCAATACATCATCAACAGCGTCTCGTATTCAGCGATACGTCAATCGATTTTCATCCGATCACCTCTTTGCCCGTGATCGATCGTCTGCTAATTACTTAGCGTATCGGATTCATTTACTTTGGTAATTGACATACGAGACAAGGCGGGACAAAGATGAACGTGTAGATGTGACGAAATATTGATACGACTATCGTGTTCATGAATGTGCCCCCATCTGAACCAATTTACATGATGCTACTATTTGGGTAATCTGAACGAAAACCAATGAATATGATATCATTGTTTACAAGCCCCGATCCCCTCTTGCAAACGCAGTACAAAACGAAAGCAAACATGAGAAACCTGCTACCATCATCATCCGAAAAATCCTGGCTATATTTGCATACACGTGGTGCATTATGATTACATTCTTGCTAATTAGTGGGTAATTAAAACAGCTGGAGAATCCGTTGGGATTTAAATGCAGTTTGAAGTCTTGTTGTCAATTTGAAAACGTTAAACCAAATTATTCATATAACTAAACAAGTTTATGTAGATATTGACAAAAACATGGGGAAGGTCGTGAAAACAAACACAAACTCTGGCTAGAAAGGTTGATAGTCGTTTGGTCTACAACCAGTTTGTCTAATACCCAATTGGTCTATTCCTATATGGTCTACACCAAGCCAGTCTACTACCCACATTTTCTAATTATCATTTAATTGTTAATAATAATAATAATCATCAACGATTATTAGACCTTATGGATGGTAGACGAATGGAAATTGTATTAACAGGCTATTAGCCTAAATGGTCATTAGACCAAATGATAAGTAGACCAAATGATAAGTAGACGAAATGAGTAGTAGACCAAACGGCAATTCACCGGCTAAACTAGAAATAGGGCAATAAAATGTATCATGGCGATGGACGTGGATTTTCATTTGTCAGTTTACAATTCATCAAGGATATCTCTACTTCGAATCTGCTAGTCTAAATAAAAACCCAAAACAAGATCACTTCGAACTGAGTCAAAAATCATAAAGATAGGTTAATTATATCAGAATCACGACTCAACCCAAACTAATGGCATGTTTGGAAGCTCTTTAATGATAGGCTTTTGTCATTGGCCTGACCTTCAACGCTAAAAAACAGGTGAAGTGGAACGGAAAACAAGTTACCATTAAAGAAAGAAATAATAACCCAATAAACAACCTCACTAGTACGTACAGATCCGTATTAATTTTTTTCAATTCATTTTTTTCGAATAAAGATTCCTGAATACAACCTTCGGGCACTTTATGATTCACGTTTTCATAACGCATTATTCTTCGAGTGACCGCCCATAGGGGTAGTTTATTATTATTGTGTGATATTTGCAAACCACAGTAGCGTACTTCCTGAGCCAAAAAAAAATACTGAATGGAATAGATTGGATACGGAGTTACCTTGGCGCGACACAAAGAACAATAAAATCATTAAATTTTGGAATTCGGAGAGTTCAGTGGTATTCTTTGCGTAAAAGGGTTACAAAATTAGAAGACCTTGATCTCCTGTGCATCCAGTGATCTCCACGCTATCGCACCTATACTACAGGCTATATTTATCCTTCTGCTATATAAGATCCACACGAAATATGTAGGGCGCTAAATGTCGTTTACGAAACAAGATAAGGAAGCCTGAATATGATTTACTTTAATTTGGCTTTGCATTTAATAATCCATGGGCCTATTTAGTTTTTTCCATACTTTATCCACTTGGTCTATTCGAAAAAGATTTATCCCCTCCCTCCCCCCCCCCCAACAAAAAAGCTTTCTGAAGCTTTTTTTTCCCTTTTTTGGTGGGGGGGGGGGGGGGGTCAGTGGATAAAAAAAACACGTGTTGAAAACCATGAACAAATTGATTGCATGAATCCTCGATTGTCCAGGGTCTATACTTGTCAGGATAATACTCGCACTCACAGTCACAGACAATATAAATGTAATTGATGCAATTTATTTTAACAAGGACAAAAAATCTTCACTCGGTCCGACTCTCTCGCTCTCTCTCTCTCTCTCTCTCTCTCTCTCTATCTCTCTCTGTTTCCCCTCTACTTCCATGCTTTCCTATACTCATCTGCCCAACGCTCCCTCCCATTCATTCTCTCTATCTCCCCCCCCTCTCTCTCTCTCTCTCTCTCTCTCTCTCTAGCTCTCTCTCTCTCTCTCTCTAGCTCTCTCTCTCTCTCTATCTCCATCCCCCCCCCTCCATCCCTCTGCATGTCGAGTGAAGATTGATGACTCCAGGCCTTGACCCCGCCCCTCTGGGCTCTGACCCCACCAAAATAAAAAGGTTATCGACTCAGCCCCTCTTGGGGTCAACCCCTCCAAAAGAAACCCGAGGTTATCACCCAAACACTCTATCTTCTTTCTCTCTCTATCATCCCTCGTTTTCGGTCACGATGTCGCTCTCGGAATATACACGTGTACCTGACAATTGACAGCTCAATTGGGGTGACGATTTAAAGGCACTTCGCGCAAGTGAGAAAACACAATAAACGCGAGGTTTCTATCATAATTCAACCGAAGAAAGGTCAAACGTAGCCTAAATGTCAAAACTTGATTTCCTTGGTAGTATAAACAATCCTGTATCGTTTATCTGTAACTGCATCTAACGTTCCATAATAGCATTATTACCAATATCTGAACGATGTCCTAACTGCTCCGAGTAATTTCAAAACGGCCGACGAGTTTCGCTGCGTGCAAGATTTGCACACACATTAATTCGGAATTCCACAAAGTGGGGTGGAAGCTGTTGCGGCGCATTGCCTTTGGGATATCAAGAGTGTACGGTATCTTTTAAAAAACTGTTCATTGTTAACTTATGTACCTCGTTTTTTGTTTGATTTTGGACTCACCTGGATAATTGCAGTGGTGTATTCTCCTCCTTTCCAGATCGGGGTTGTTCTTCCTGTTGTACTTGAGAGACTGGCCGGTGTGGTTGTGGGCGTGGTTGTGGGTGTGGCTGGTGGAGCTGGTCATGGGGGACACTTGACCACCCTTTGCAACAGCTACAGGATACGGCGGCGGAGGAGGTCTCAGACAGAGGGCCGACCCCTCCAGACCCAGGGGAATATCAGCAGGCGAACCTGGATGAGAGTTGGGCGGGGTCGGAGGGAACCCGCTGTAGGACTGGTGGTGCGGCTGCTGCTGGTGGTGGTGATGGTGATGGTGGTGGTGGTGTGGTGGAAGGTGCTGGTTGTTCTGGTGGTGCTGGTTATTCTGCTGGTGGTGATGGTGGTGGTCCATGGGTGGCAAGTTGATGTTAAAGGTGAACGAATTAGACACTGGTCCCTGGTTCTGCTGGTGATGGTGAAACGTCGGGGAGTGCTGCATCATTGGTTTCGTCTCCATGGCCAGCGCGCACATATCAGGGGGCGTCGGCGGTACCCCCATGGGCATGTTGGTGGGGGTCGGGTTGCACTGCATATTGCACGGGGATGGAAGATTGTCCAGGGGCTCTTGTTTGATCATAACCCCACCCAATGTCAATGAATCGGGACTACACACCGACATCCTACGCATGCCACACTGATTGTTATTATTCACGATGTCCATACTGTGTTGGAAGTTCATGGACAATCTTGTTGCATTGGCGTTAGCGCCATTGCTGCAGGGAATCGGAGTAGAAGGCACCCGCATGGGGCCGCACTCGGACTGGACACACGGGACACTCCCCTGGTAATCACAGTCCATTTCCTCCTTGATGTGGGGGAACTGATGCACACCAGGGTTCATCAGGACATTGCCGACCAAGCCATGGCCGTTGTCGATGTCGCCGAATGTCGACGACTTCGGATCGAAGAAAAAATCCTCCATCATGGAGGCACTCACGCGTCGGCTTTTGCTGTCACTCGACGTCGAGGAAGGGCTCGAAGGCTCCTTCTTGAAGAAGATCTCGGAAAGTGGATCCGGTCCAGTTTGGTCCTATAAAACAATAACAAAAGAAAAGAGGTTGGATTTTAGGCCTACTCTTATTATGTATCATAATGCCGTTAGCAATATCCCATTAATTGCGAATCCCAGGATTAAAGTACGAATAAGTATGAACTACCTTGTCCACGTTGTAGTTGTTGGCGTACAACGAATACTGCTGATACGGAATTCCAAAACTCTGACGTTAGAATTCAAATAATGGAAATTCTATTGCATACTCACAAACTTGAAAGGCCTTTGTAACATACAGGAGCTACTTTGCTGTAATAAAAGCAACTAATGTGATTTCACCTTTTAATAATTGTGAGCGCGTCTTTTGCACGGCGTCGTGGCTCAATATAAAAATGTATAACTCTTTGAACATATTCGCCATCTTGCATTCCTTGTTCAACAAAACACTCTTTGAGTGTGAATGGTGCAAAATATGTACAGAGCTAGACCCTTATTTTCTTCACAATTTCATGTCAAACACTGCCCTGCTTTGGGGATAAGTAGGTCACGAAAACATTATCGTTACAAAACATATTTTGCATCATCCCAATTCTGCATGTTCCCTGTCGGCTGTTTCAGATGTCCGGTATCAACACCAATATGAATATATCTGTCCGCTTCAGGGCTGTGTGGCCTAAAATAAAACGTTTCTTTCATTCAATACATGAACAAGAGGGTAATAGTTCAAATCAATACGAACTTTCGAAGAACTTTGTCTTCAGAAATAACAAACAAGAGACTGTGTCAACATTTACCGTCTGCTTTCTGCAAAAACCACATCCACAAAGCTTTGACTTTGTGAGAAAGAACGAGAGAGGCAAAGGAAAGAGAAATAGAGAGAGAAAGATGGGGAAGAGGGAAGGAAGGATAATACGTGGAAATGAATATATACGCAGGTATGACATGCACAAAATTGAGGAAGAAGATTTGAAATGAAAGACAAACTCGTTTACTTTTCGTATTTTCTATTTTCTGAGATTGAAGATGTCAGACGTGACTGTTGGTCATTTCTGCCCGCTGAATCACGCGGGAAAATCAGCAGGAGATTGTTATCGTTAGCAATGATCACGAAAGCGATACTACAATCGAGTCGAGTCTTCTGCCGAGATCGCCAGACGCGGGGAACTCTGAAAATGACTTTGATAAAACGGAGATCAGACGACACTGGAACAAACCAAACGAAATTGGTTCTATTTTCGTAGAAATTAAGATGAAACATTTAAAGAAAAGCTGAAGTAATGATTATTAAACCAAATCGCTATCACTACTTCAAACCTCAAATGTCGCCAAGATTTCGAGAAAAGATAAGAGAAAACATATTTTCCCTTTATAGAACTTTCGATATCCTGTTTTTCATAGAAACAAGGGAGGAACTAAAAAGGGAGTACAGACCTAAACTCCATGTATTAAAGAAAATGTCGCTTACCGTCCAAATCCAACACCCTTACCCCTTTCTGACTCTGGATGGCAAATTAGAAAATTTAAAAGAAAAATATTTATACAATATTTCACTTTTAAAACGGTTCAAATCGACAACGATCAGATCAAATTAAATTTTGTGTGCGTTTGCCTTTTTTTTTTAATCAGATATTCTGGACCTCTGTCATGTCTTCGGAGAGCCTAGCGCGTTTAATTTCTAGAAATTTCATGATCACATCAATTGTTATATAGTGTCTAATTACATTCGTGGAATATTATTGGGAAATAATAAAGACGATTCAGTGTTCTTTATCACGGTGTAAGTCTGCCTATACATTGCAAACCTGATAAACTTAAATGTATTTTGTGTCTTTTCATTCATTGCACGAAGATGAAACAAAATGTGTATCCACATGCGTATACTCTCGACGTGGTGTACTTTCAAAAATCAAAGTGGCAGGCAAGCTACATACATATAATGAGATGATGCAGGCATCCGAGGAAGAAAAACGAGGTCGCCAACATTTCATGACACTTGTTCACAGTCACACTTCATCAAACGATGGTTTTGGAGATGGTGAAACAGCCGCTGCTTGGCTTGTAGTGTACTGTTGTGTACTGCTATCGTCGAGATCTTAGCCGGTACACGGGGGCTCGATCCCCCCAGCGTGCAGGGGGACTTGGCGCGGGGATTTCATCTGACAAAACACGTCAGCTAAGCGCTGTTGATGGCGCAATTTTCGACACAACTAGCATCATTTCAAAATACAAGTACATGTATTTTGTTCACCAGAATGACGTCTTTATACGTTTTTTCCCTTTATTTTTTCACTGTCGCCGCCGCTGCTGCTATTTCCTCGCTTTTTCCTATCATTTTTATCCATCTCAGGTTGTGGTCTTCGGTGATGGTATGATTCTCATGGTGAAACAGATATGTCGGCTTAGGGTATGGTATTGGATGGGAAAGCCATGAGAACGTGTAAAATGTATAAAATATTGATCAACAACAAATGCGTTCAACAGTTAAGTTAGAACTATTATGTCGGCTACTGATTTTATTGAAAAGTACACACAAAGAACATAATGTTGTAATGTATGTAGTTTCAGGTAGAGTTCAGGGGGAGTTTGCAAGATATCACAATAATGTTTTATGGGGTTTACAAAGATCTTATTTGTTTACAGTGATGCACGATTTCATTTACAATATGCTGCCAGTAATGAAACACTTTTCAATCAACTTGAATTCGATAACAAACATCATATTTAACAAATGCCCGTTAATGGAGCGTTGCTTAGCTCACACAAATGTTGCCATCTTTTAACGACTTTTGACGACTTACGTCTTTAAAATATTGTACCATGCACCATTTAACAACCCGCTGCGAGCAAATGGATACTCATAACAATGCTCTGCGATGACAGGGTCGAAAGAGACGGAGCCCCCTGGCCATCATTTAGGAAAATGTATACAAACCAGAGTCTACTTCCCAGCCACTATAACGAACACGGGAATTATTCTAGAGGACAAATCCATACGCAAGTCAATAGGGTTTCTTCATCAATTGATTAATTATTTGTCAGGCGGGCGAAAATATAAGGTAGCAGTCCATCGAATATAACCATCATAATAAATATACATTTAAGTTACCTTGAAGAGTGCTTTACCTGTTACAGCATTACTTTATATTCAACCAATAAGTGACCCAATAGGCGGTGTCACACAGAAAAATCCCTTAAAAAATCCCTTGAAGAATCCTTTCAAGGGAGAATTTTCTTCCTTCGTTAGAGGATTTTTAATGGGATAATTGATGACAGACAGCAATTAAGAGGATAACTCAAATCCGGATAACTAAAATCCGGATTTTTGGCCTCTGTGTGACACCGCCTTATTTCGAACGTATGTTCTTTTCATGGCACTTGGTGAATTTATGTACACGTACGTGATTTTGATAATTTCAAGAAATTTGAAATTTAATTTGCCCGGTCCAGTAACGTGTAGCCCAATTTAGGAAGAGTTGAAATACATTCCGCGCTCTCTTTATCCAAGTAGTCAGACGTAATCTAGTTTAGGCACACTCTTGATAAGTGTGATTCTACATGTACTTTATTAATCACAATTGCTAAACTATATACAAGATCCTTATCAAATCTCGAACACAAATCTCCTTTTAAACGTTGTTGCTTTGACATTGGGACCATACATCGAAGTGACAACAAACAGCTCCAGGCACTTTCTTTGTTAGTCGTTCTCTTTTATTATATGGATGATCGAATCATAAATCGTACCAGAGAATATGACAACATCCCGTGAAATAAGCCTTCCATAAATAAACACAACGATTGAAAGCGGTAAATAATAGATTCCCTGCATTTGTGTACGAAACACCTGTACGTTGTTAGTGTGACCCAACACACACAATGTTAATTTTTTTTTCCTCGTCAGTATTATCGTAATAACAAAAAACAAAATAATCTCTTTAAAAAAGCTGCAATTCAGAATTACAAAATCGAAATAATCCAGAAGTGTCATGCAGTCATTCAAAACGAGGCTTAACTTCAGAAGGCTTCAACTTTCGTTTGAATTTGCCAAGTTGTTCAGCTTTATTATTAAAGTTTCTATTTATAATTCTTGGAGTTGATTGGTGTCAAAGGGTTTGAGGCTTGTGGTTCAAACACTTGACTAGATATGCAAAGGTTGTCGGTTCGAGCCCCAATACAACACTGAAGCTAAAGTTAAAGAGAAAATCCTGGCGCCGCGCACAGAATAAAGGCAAGTATAGGGCTCTTGCCAGTTGTTTGACAACTGAACTTTTGTATCTAGCCCCTTTTACTTAGCTGAAACAACAATTACCTACATATTCTTAAAACAATACTATTTCACAAATATTACATGCTGGCTCAAATCGTGACAGTTCGTTGCCATTTTGTCAACGTGGGATTTAACAGAAGCACAAGCACACAACCTTGACAACCGCCTAAAAAGCTGTTAAAATAATTTGACAAGTACTACATCATAACCTTTGGTCGTCTGTTCCTAAGAGGTTTTGATACGTTGGAAACTATCAAGTAAACAAATATCTCATTAACACTTCAGATTTTGACTTTCGTCCAAAGTCAAGCACTTTTTTTTATTTTACTTGTGAGGGTAATAACAGACGAAATACCCATTTCCTAGCCCTGCATTTTCCTTTACGGTAGGGAAACTGTCTGTCTGGTCCTACACTATACGGGACAGACAGGGGATAACAATGAAAGAGAGAGAGAGAGAAAGAGAGAGAGAGAGAGAGAGAGAGAGAGAGGTAGAGAGAGAGAGAGAGAGAGAGGAGGGATGGGGTGGAGGAGGAAGGGGTGGAGCTAGCGGTATGGAAAGAGAGGGGCTCTGCAGAAACCATGGGCACGATGGGAATATGAAATCAGCAATAACCGTTATTTGGGGCAGCGAGGTGTTTTCATTTTTTTTCTTCGACGAATTAGGGCCTTTACTTCATTTGAACTGAAATAAAGTGTAAATCTTTTTCACTCATTTGTTTCGCTGACATGCGATATTGGGGAATTATAGAAGCGTGCCTGTACTGCAATAC